CCCCTTGGGCCAGCCGGACATCAAGCCCTCGGTGGTGGTACAGCAGGGCGGCCGCGGCGACGAGCTGCACGGGCCAGGCGCCCTGCAGCAGCAGCACCAGCAGCAGCAACAGCAGCAGCAACAGCAGCAGCAGCAGCAACAGCAGCAGCAGCAGCAACAGCAGCGGCCGCCGCATCTGGTGCACCACGCCGCCAACCACCACCCGGGGCCCGGGGCATGGCGGAGCGCGGCCGCCGCGGCGCACCTCCCGCCCTCCATGGGAGCGTCCAACGGCGGCTTGCTCTACTCGCAGCCCAGCTTCACGGTGAACGGCATGCTGGGCGCCGGCGGGCAGCCGGCGGGNGGAGCCGCATCACGCAGACCACCACCCGCACCCTCACTCGCACCCGCATCAGCAGCCGCCGCCGCCCCCGCAGGGCCCGCCGGGCCACCCGGGCGCGCACCACGACCCGCACTCGGACGAGGACACGCCGACCTCGGATGACCTGGAGCAGTTCGCCAAGCAGTTCAAGCAGCGGCGGATCAAACTGGGATTTACCCAAGCGGACGTGGGGCTGGCGCTGGGCACCCTGTACGGCAACGTGTTCTCGCAGACCACCATCTGCAGGTTTGAGGCCCTGCAGCTGAGCTTCAAGAACATGTGCAAGCTGAAGCCTTTGTTGAACAAGTGGTTGGAGGAGGCGGACTCGTCCTCGGGCAGCCCCACCAGCATAGACAAGATCGCAGCGCAGGGGCGCAAGAGGAAAAAGCGGACCTCCATCGAGGTGAGCGTCAAGGGGGCTCTGGAGAGCCATTTCCTCAAATGCCCCAAGCCCTCGGCCCAGGAGATCACCTCCCTCGCGGACAGCTTACAGCTGGAGAAGGAGGTGGTGAGAGTTTGGTTTTGTAACAGGAGACAGAAAGAGAAAAGGATGACCCCTCCCGGAGGGACTCTGCCGGGCGCCGAGGATGTGTACGGGGGGAGTAGGGACACGCCACCTCACCACGGGGTGCAGACGCCCGTCCAGTGAACTCGAGCGGGGGGAGGGGCAGAGCGTGGGGCTCCCCCTCCCCTTCGGCCCACCGCCCTCTCCCGGCCCCCTTGTTCCCTCTCTAACTTCTGATTGTTCTTTTATTTTTAATTATTATTTCCCCGTCCCTTAAAAAGAAAAAAAAATAAGGAAAGCCACTAAGGCACTGGACTATCCTTTAAACGGTAGCAGGTGTAATGATGTGTTTTGACCTTTACAGGCTAGTACCCAGGCAATGGAGTAGAGTGTCTCAGAGAGGGGGCGGGGAGGGGGAGAGATGAGATAAAATACCTGGCAAAACTAAATAATTTACCAAAAACAAAAATCCACCACGCCATGATAAACACAAAACACAGCTTCCTAATGCCCGGAGTTGGCACATGCTGCTGTGTTTATTTAACGTGGATCCCCATCAGGGAAGAGTAAAAAATACACACATTCTTGGATGTAGGCAAAATCTAACCACATAAATTTGCACTGCAAGAAAATTGAAGTTTACATGAACAAATTCGTGAACACCTTTTTCTTTCTCCCAGCGTTAATTTTGAAATTGCCGGGGTTTGTGTTCTGTTTTGTTCTGTTCAGAGGAGGGAGTTGAAGCCAGCTCTTGGCCACTCTCCATTTCTATCGTTATAGTGTAGCCACTTGTTCTTACTGTTTGTGAACTTTGGTTACCTTCAGATCCGTCTCCTCCCTTACATTGGTGCAACTTGTATTTGCTCCTTCTACCAAAGCAAAAACGATTGGCTTAATACAAAATAAATAATTCTCTGCTTTCAGAAAATGTGCACGGTCTACCCTCTTTAACAAGGCAAGAATCCAGTTTGGAATACAAAGAACGAGAGTCAAGCATTGGTTTTTGTTTTACCAGCCACAAAGTAAACTTCATTTTCAGGCAGTGTTTCTGGGGGAGGCTGCAGAGGGGAGAAAAAGAAAAAATCGATAGTGAGTGACTGACTGCTTCATTTTATCACGCAGGCCCATTGTGAAAGAGCTCAGAGAATATGTGGAGGTTAAATATATTTTCAGAGTTGTCCAACAGAAAGTGGTACTTTGAAGAGAACTGGGGAAATATATATCTTCAGACACCCCCTGTAAAGTTCTCTGCCTTCAGTTTTAATAACTTCATTTAGGAGGGATTATTTGTGCTGACGGTAGCAAGTTAAACTTTGTTCCTCTAATAGCTTTTTAAAAAACATAAAGAAAATAATCTGGGAACTTAACGGTGTATGTCTAGACTGTGTTTCTTAGCACACAAATACCCACATGCATACAGAGAATATTTCCACTCTAGACTGGTTTTTTGTGGGTTTTTTTTTTCCACTAGTCATTTGTATATCAAATTATATTTAAGGTCCCACACCTTCTCCTGTAATTTTTTACAGAAAATACAAGTTTGACTTGGACTGCTCCCTCCCCTTCACTAAAGAAGCCAAATGAAGTGGAGGGAAAATGCTATTTTCAATCCTTCCTTTTCTCCCTTTGTTAATAGTTTTAAGTGCATTTTTTTACCTTATCTTGATGGAAAACGGTTAACTCCCATAACAAAAGAATCTGCTGGGAAGTGTAGGTGAAAAAAAAACAAAACAAAACCTGTAACTGTATTGAAAATAAATGCCATTAAACTGTGATCAGTTAAAATATTTAAAAATAATCAGCACAAAAGGGCACTAAAAGGGGAAACACTTTTTATTAATCTTAAAAGATCGGGGCTTTTCTCTCGTTAGGTATTAGGTAAAATTTTATTTTAAAAAATTAAATCTCAATACCATAAAATTATGGTTCAGCATCAGATTAGCATTGCACTCAGTAGTTAAGGTTTTAGGAAATATGCTTTATATTGTATTTTCAAACACCAGTGATTGTTTCATTTTCGATGTTTTTGCAAGATAAATGATGACTTATAATGGGCATATTTATTTGCCTGTATTTCATTTCCCCCAATGAATGTCACAAGGAGATGGACGCGAGGCTGCTTGGGGTGCAACACACTGCTTGTTCCTGAGGTGTGGGGACTGGCCTTTAGTGAAGCAATCCAGAGCAGGGCAAATAGCCAAGGGTAAAGGGAGGAAATGAATTTTCAGATTCTTATTACCAAGTGGGTAAGGTTAGAAGCTGGAGTTCAGGGGATGTGTCTATAGCTCCTCTAACTCTCAGAGGTTTACTAAGATGAAAGTTGCCACTGAACCTTACCACTATGTATATATGTTTAATATCTGTCTTTTGAAATGCAGAAATAGTTTAAATGTTTCTTTGTCTATTTTTCTTTTTTTTAATGCTACCCAGGGAAATATTTTCATATCATTTTTAAGTGGCCTGCCTCAATGTATATTTATTTCTTTTAAAGCAAAAAGGTTCTGGAAACTGTTTTTCTGTAGCTTTAAATGAGTAGGTGAGCAAAATCTATATGGGATGTAATTTTTTTTGTTCAGTCTCTTTAAAAAATACTTCGTTTTGGTACATTTGGTTGTGCTTGTGGGGAAAATAAAAACGCAGAGATCCTTATATATTTATGTTAAAGTAATATTTTATTATCTACATAAAACAGAAATGCACAATACCTTCATAGTTTGTTCTAATTATTGAAATATCTTTATTTTATTTTAAAAATAGTGCCAAGTTTTAAGGGGAAAAATTCCTAGACCTATACTGAGTTGAGTTGTATGTAAAACATTTCCCTTCCTTTATACTTCCTAAAGTTTTGGAATAAATTTTATGCATATACTGCCAGGTTTCACGTTGATAACTTTCAGGGGCCTTTTTTTTTTTTTTTTTTTTTTTTTTTTTAATGAGACTACTATTCTGATTCACTTTTCTTTACAAAAAATTATCAATCCCAAACAGTTTATCTACTATGCCTATAGCATTAAAGTGAAATGGTCATTGGGTTTGAGCTTCAATTTGTTTGCCATTTCATGGTCTGACAAAGAGATGTTTATCCCCTTTAAATATATGCAGGTATCCCTGTATCTTCTTTCCAGGTTAGTTTTACATTATCCAATTTTACTTTTTTGGAAAATATCAATAGAACTAGGTGGACTTTAATCTTTACCCACATGTCCTCACATAATTTGGGATCTACAGAAAAACAAGGCTTAGTTAAGGAAATTATTCTTTTTAGTAATTTACAAATATCTTTCAAAGAACAACTCTGATGATATGCAATATGTGTGTTTACCAAGTGATAGAGGTAGGTCCTATATATTATTCCTGATAGGTTTACAGAAAAAGATGGGTTTTGCAATGGTTTATACAATAATATCTATTTCTCATCAGGCAAGCAAACAGCCTCTAAAACAAGAAAAGAACGTTTGGAGCACTCAAGACTGGGGTGACAATAACAGATTGTTTCAGATAGTCGTGGATGAACATTACACTTACCCAAATCAGTTTTAAGGTTAGTGAGAAATCCAAGCAGCATTGGGTTAGTTTACAAGTTTGCTGTTGTACTTCAAGTCCTCCTTGGAACATTGGTTTTAGTATAAATGTCCATTTTGAAAGGTAGTTTCTGGGCTTATTACATCTGATCATCTTTTCTAACTCCTAGTCAATATTACACAGGTCCCAAACAGATTCAGCCAAATGATCTTATCAATAGTCTGAAAACGAAGTGACAGAAAGAAGAAGTGTTTTGTGACCGCAGACATGCTGATGGGTAAAATGTTTAAGCTGGGTATAGATTTGAGTTCTGGGTCAATATCTTCCTCCATTGCAGGGAGAAAACAAGCAGCATCTGCCCTCTGCAGGGCATTTTAGTGGACCTTGAGAAGGCATTTTTTTGTTCTTAGCCACGGGGGCTACTGACTGGAAACCATCACGTGTTAAACAGATGGGCCATGGTTTTGACCCATGCTTGCCATTCAGATTCTAAAGCTATTCAGGCGGTTTCGATGCTGTTTGGGGGAATGTATTACATGCTAAGGTGAAAAACTCCATCACTGCCACTGGGAGAAATTTGTGGGGCAGTCACCCCTAAAATGTTGGCTAGACACAATGACAAACCCTTTCTTTTCCCTAAAGACAATAATGCAGAAGACAGCCATCCTGAAAGAGCTCCTGTGTTTCCTCAAAATATGCCACTTTCTAAATTTATGGTGTAAGATGAGGGAGAAAGGATCATGTGGGAGAGTTATGTGAAGGTCAGATGGAGGGAATGGCCACAAATAATATTATGCTTGGCACTTCTAAACATTCTCGGTTCCCACGAAGTCACCTCCTTTATATTTCAGATGCAGCAACAAAAGCACTCCTCTCCTTGCCCTCCTGCTCCTGCCAGTGGGAGCCACACACTGGTTGGCAAATTTTTCTGGTGAAATGGCTTTAACAAAGGCACTCGTCTTTCTACTTATTTCTCCAAAAAGAACTAATAAAGAGATGCAGCAGCAACAATGGGGGGAAATGGCATGTGAGTGAGCTGGTACCTGCACACGTAGGTCCCTACGTGGCACTCCTTTGCCTTTCATTTGCCTCACTATGGGAGCAGCTCGCGAGTGCTGGGCTGCTGGGGGAGAGAAATTATCTTTTTATCATCGGCCTCTCTGTGATTTGTCTTTGTTGGCTTTTCAATCAGTGTATAGGACTCTGTTCTAGAGTCTATTGAATCCCTAGACAAGTTAAAGAGTGAAGCGAAGGATGGAGCTTGTACCAAAAAAGATGGAAGGGCGGTGAAGTGAGGGTCAAAGGTAAAAGTGCTTCTTTGCATCTGCTTGTATATTTCAGTGAGGCAAAAGGGACAGTGTCCATTTAAAATCAAAGAAAGGGATGCATCTTTAAAAACTAGGGATAAATCTTGACAATAACAAGAAATGAGGTGTACAGCTACATTTTATACATTTTCTCTATTCAGTAAAGTTTACTTTTTTCAGTGATACATAATCTATTAACAGGGGCAGTTGGTGGTAGGAGAGAACCAGGGCTCCTGGCTCCTAGTCCCACCACTCCCTATTCAGGATGGGTAATAGTTCAAAGTGGCAGGGGCTTGCCACTCAGCTAGCAAAACACGGAGTAAACTTGCCCACCTTCGTAGAACTTGGGCCAGAGTTATTTCAATACCCCCTT